GGCGATTCACCGCGAACGCGATATCCCGGCTCGAAGAGGGCAGCAATTTATTATTTTATCATTCTACCGATGCTGACGGGAGCCACCTATCGCGAATACAACCTCATAAATCCTCCTGTATCGTCTCGATATTCTTTGCATCCTGTATACGTTATATGACTTATTCGATGCAACCGATTTGCCTTTTGACACGTACAATATTTTAATAACTATTCTCTGCAATAGGATCTGTAATTGTAGTCACTACAATTTTTGACGGGAATGAATTAGTAACAGTTAGCCCGATCAAGTTAGGGCTGGGTGGAACACAGTTCGATTTTATCTTAAGAAGTGTTACAAAATTTACGTTCAATTATCTTCCTATATTGCGTTATAATTCCTTCATGTTATATCGCCACCTGCAACATCACCACGCGTTATATCGCCACGTGTAGTATCACCACGTGTTATATCGCCGCGTATAGTATCACTATGCGTTACTGTCACCACGCGTTGTATTACCACTCGTTATTATAATCACTCTTTGCTTTTCCACGCGTTTTATCGCCTCGCGTTATATAGCCGCGCATAGCATCGCCAAGCGTTACTATCACTACGCGTTGTATTGCCACTTGTTACTATCACTACTAATTGCTTCTCCACGCGTTATATCGCCACGTGTCACATTACCACGCATTATATCGCCTCGCGTTATATCGCCACGTGTAGCATCACTAAGCGTTACTATCACTACGCATTGATTTACTACTTGTTACTATCACCACTCATTGCCTTTCCACGCGTTATATCGTCACGTGTAGCATTACCACGCATTATATCGCCTCGCGTTATATCGCCGCGTGTAGCAGCACTAAGCGTTATTATCACTACGCATTGATTTACCACTTGTTACTATCACCACTCATTGCTTCTCCACGCGTTATATCGCCACGTGTAACATTACCACGCATTATATCGCTTCGCGTTATATCGCCGCGTGTGGCATCACTAAGCTTTACTATCACTACGCATTGATTTACCACTTGTTACTATCACCACTCATTGCTTCTCCACGCGTTATATCGCCACGTGTAACATTACCACGCATTATATCGCCTCGCGTTATATCGCCGCGTGTAGCAGCACTAAGCGTTATTATCACTACGCATTGATTTTCCACTTGTTACTATCACCACTCATTGCTTCTCCACGCGTTATATCGCCACGTGTAACATTACCACGCATTATATCGCCGCGTATAGCATCACTACGCGTTACTATCACTACGCGTTGATTTGCCACTTGTTACTATCACCACTCGTTGCTTCTCCACGCGTTATATCACCACGTGTTATATCGCCACATCTTATATTACCACGCGTTATATCACCATATATAACATTACCACACGTTACTACCACTACCCGTTGTATTGCCATTTACTACGTCACGCATTGCATCTCCACTTGTTATATCGCCACGCGTTATATTACCACGTGTTATATCGCCACGTGTTATATTACCACGTGTTATATCGCCACGTGTTATATTACCACGTGTTATATCGCCACGTGTATATCGCCACGTATATCGCCACGTGTTATATTACCACGTGTTATATCGCCACGTATAGCCACCTATCGCGAATACAACCTAATAAGTCCTCCTGTATCGTCTCGATATTCTTTGCCTCCTGTGTACGTTATATGACTTATTCGATGCAACCGATTTGTCTTTTGTCACGTACAATATTTTAATAACTATTCTCTGCAATAGGATCTGCAATTGTAGTCACAATTTTTGGCGGGAATGAATTAGTATGATGTGGTATGCTTGAAAAAATTTTTGTACTCTGTCAATTTTTCTATGTTGTCAGTGTTTAAGGTACATTGTCAGTTTTTACATCGGCAATTTTTAATGCACATGACATTTTGTTTCGCATGCAAAATGTCGGATTACGAAAGTGCATTCTAAAAGAATTGACTTCCACTAATTATAGTGACCTTAATTTTCTTCTACCACATAATTGACCTACTTTTTAAAAAATTCCATGATAATACGATTGATATAGAACAAGTGAAAACTTCACCTCTGGAATTTTTATACCACGGACACGTATAAAAAAACTAATTCCAGCAGAACAATGTTGTCAATGCATATCCAGAATCAAGTGTCATCAGCAAACCTGTTCACTTCGAAATTCTGTATCAAGCTTTTTATACGAACAGATTGACGTGCTTCAATTAAGAACTCGAGAAAGGGTAAAAGCCTGACAAATACCGTTCCGTTCCAATTAATTCATCCGATTCGAAACACGTGTCATCTTCGTCAGAGACGAGCTCTCTATAATCGTCTACCCATGCCGTCTTTGATATAATCTCTGTACACAGTACACATTTTATTCAACGCGATATCGAAGCCACCAGGACCAGACGCATCAGCTACGCCCACCAGACAGCTGGGTACCCGGTGAGCAACGAGCATCGTTGATAACCGTGCATGTTCTTCGATGTCCATTTTTCAGAGGACATTTTTTTTTCTTTGCGTACTATTCATTTTGTAATATATCTGTGTACTCGAAATTTCTGCTAAATCCATGACACAACCGCGACGCAGGAATCACCGCCCATGGGAACGTACGCCAGAGAAATATACGAGCAAAGCCGACGTAAATATCGGTGGACGGATATTTACGGGCGTACAATGAGCGATATACGTTTTGTGTTTGAATGGAATTCCCTTTTTCAGTTTCCGGAGTTTTTAATTTTACGTAAATAAATTCGGTTGGTGGGCTCTTGTTGGGCAGATTTAAAATTGGGGGATTTGTGACTATGTATAATAGGTACGAAGTTTGCAAGTTTATATGTTGGTGAATGTATGAGATGGGAGAGTTTAAATTAATTATATACAAATTTACAATTTTATAAGTTTACAAGTTTACAAGTTTTCAAGTTTACAAGTTTACAAGTTTACATGTTTACAAGTTTGCAAGTTTACAAGTTTGCAAGTTTACAAGTTTACAAGTTTACAAGTTTACAAGTTTACAAGTTTACATGTTTACAAGTTTGCAAGTTTACAAGTTTGCAAGTTCATAAGTTTACAAGTTTACAAGTTTACATGTTTACAAGTTTGCAAGTTTACAAGTTTGCAAGTTCATAAGTTTACAAGTTTACAAGTTTACATGTTTACAAGTTTGCAAGTTTACAAGTTTGCAAGTTCATAAGTTTACAAGTTTACAAGTTTACATGTTTACAAGTTTGCAAGTTTACAAGTTTGCAAGTTCATAAGTTTACAAGTTTACAAGTTTACATGTTTACAAGTTTGCAAGTTTACAAGTTTGCAAGTTCATAAGTTTACAAGTTTACAAGTTTACAAGTTTACAAGTTTACAAGTTTACTATTTTACTATTTTACAATTTTACAATTTTACAATTTTACAATTTTACAAATTTGTAATTACAGGATTTCCCAAATTCTCTATCTTCAAATTGTTACATTACATCTGAGACTTTTCAAGTCCCTGAATCCACAAATTCCCAATTCTCAAATCTTCAGTTCCTACATTTTTAAAGACTCAAACCTTTCATTCCTAAACTTTCCAATTTCTAAACATTCAAATTTCCAAATCTCTAATTCTCCAAACCTCTAAATTCCCAAATCCCCAAATTCCCACATCTCTAAATTCCTAAATCACCACATCTCTAAATCCCCTATACCCAAATTCAAAATCTCCCAATTCCCAAATCTCCAATTTCTAATTCCCCAAATCCTCAAATTCCTAAGTCTCCAATTATCAAATCCTCAAATCTCCAATTTCTAATTCCCCAAATCTCCAAATCTCCAATTTCCAATTCCCTAAATCCCCAAATCTCCAATTCCAAATTCCCAATTTCCAATTCCCCAAATCCCCAAATTCCCAAATCTCCAATTTCCAGTTCCCCAAATCCCCAAATTCCCAAATCTCCAATTTCCAATTCCCCAAATTCCCAAATCCCTAAGTCTCCAATTATCAAGTCCTCAAATCTCCAATTTCCAATTCCCAATTCCACAAATCCCCAAATCCCCAAATCTTCAGTTTCCAATTCCCCAAATTCCCATATCCCTAAGTCTCCAATTATCAAATCCCCAAGTCTCCAATTTTCATTTCCTCAAATTCCCATATCCCTAAGTCTCCAATTATCAAATCCCCAAATCTCCAATTTCCAATTTCCCAATTACCCAAATCTCCAATTCTCCAAATCCCCAAATCCCCAAATCCCCAAATCCCCAAATCCCCAAATCCCCAAATCCCCAAATCCCCAAATCCCCAAATCCCCAAGTCTCCTATTATCAAATGCCCAAATCTCCAATTTCCAATTCCGCAAGTCCCCAAATTCCTAAATATCCGATTTTGAAATCCTTAAATCTCCAATTTCCAACCGCTTAAATCCCCAAATCCCCAAAACCCCAAATCCCCAAATCCCCAAATCCCCAAATCCCCAAATCCCCAAATCCCCAAATCCCCAAATCCCCAAATCCCCAAATCCCCAAATCCCCAAATCCCCAAATCCCCAAATCCCCAAATCCCCAAATCCCCAAATCCCCAAATCCCCAAATCCCCAAATCCCCAAATCCCCAAATCCCCAAATCCCCAAATCCCCAAATCCCCAAATCCCCAAATCCCCAAATCCCCAAATCCCCAAATCCCCAAATCCCCAAATCCCCAAATCCCTAAATCCTCAAATCCCCAAATCCCTAAATCCCCAACTCACAATTCTAACAACGCAACACTCACGTTACACAACGCTGTTAACACATCCGCAAAGTGAAAACAACACGTGTTCCTAAGATAAAAATACGAAAGTACGTTCGACGAACTTTCTCCAGCATCTAATTAGAATAGTTCATCGATCTGTATCTCTGCTGTTGCATGGTTTAAAAGATGGAAAGTACAAGCGGAGCTAGTTCTTATCCCGATATACGGCTGGTAATTAAAGAGTATAACAGAGGCGTATACAAATGTGTATGTTCTTTTTGTTTCAGTTGTCTGGACTAGTGGTAGGCGGGATCGGTATCTGGACGGTGATCTCGAAGCACTTCTACGTGTCCCTGATGACGACCTCCACGTATCCAACCCTTGCCTATGCTTTGATCGTTGCAGGTGTCCTGGCCGTGATCGGTAGCTGGCTCGGATGTGGCGGTGTTGCTTCTGAAAATAGATGCGTTCTTCTCATAGTAAGTAATCTCTATTTATGCTCATCTACCTTTCATCTACAGTCTTTGCTATCCGACAGCATTCCATCTTTAATCAGTGTTCCATTTCATTTGCAACTTGCAATTTTCTAAACGCCAACTCATTTGCTTTGTTCTCAGTTATGTTTGCTTTGTTCAAAATTATCCTTCGGATTTGTCTATTCATCATTTGAATTTCTGCTTGTTAAATCAAATTATAATCGCAATTATAATGAAATTCTAATGAAGTTGAAATTGTAATGAAGTTATAATTGTCATGAAATTATAATGGACTTGTAATGAAATTATAATGAACATGTAATGAAATCATAATGTAATTACGACAAAAATGAATTTCCTGCAGATCAACATCTTTTTTGTAGATACTAGTGTATTATTAGATTCGTTCATGCACGATCTTTTTGTCGGTACACATGTTTTTGTCACGATCGATGAGCAATTATGCCAAGGATCTTCAAGTAAAAACACGCGATAAATACGTACTCCGTTACAAGGTTGATTTCGTCTTAAACACTACAGTGTATGGCCTGCGGTGTATTCGCCTGAACTCCTCGTCAAAGTTTCCCCTTGTGGCTCGTGGTGGAACAGCTCCGTTGAAAAATAGCCCTATAGCGATTACATATCAAAGTCAGTACGTCAAAACCTGAAGATTACCAGCTGAAAACAGATGGGCTGGGTTCTTATTTCTGTCGAGGAATAATAATCAAGCAATTTAGGTCGATGATTTTTTATTCTGAGAACTAACGATTAGCCCGATCGAGTTAGGGCTGGGCAGACGTTCGTTTTTATCTTTAGAAGTGTTACAAATTTTACGTTCAATTATCTTTCTATAATGCGTTATAATTCCTTTGTGTTATATCGCCACAGATTAATTTGCTATACTATAGATTGATACTAGTTTGTTAGGTGATCATGTGTTAGATTGCTGTACGTTATAGTATCATGTGCTTTATTATTAAGTGGTACATTACTAAGCATTGTATCGCCTCGCATTATATTGCCACCTGTGGAATCAAGCATTATTTCCATTACTATTAATACGTGTTAGATTACTATCTCGCGTTGTATCTCAGCGCATTATATCGCCACTCGCAATGTCACCACGCATTATATCGCCACGTGTAATAACACCACACGTTATATTTTATCACCGCGTGTAGTATCATCGCACGTTACTGTCACGACGCGTTGTATTGCAACTCGTTATTATAACCACTCGTTTCTTTTCCACGCGTTTTATCGTCTCGCGTTATATAGCCGCGCATAGCATGACGACGCGTTACTATCACTACGCGTTGTATTGCCACCTGTTACTATCACTACTCATTGCTTCTCCACGCGTTATATCGCCACGTGTAGGATTACCACGCATTACATTCTCTCGCGTTATATCGCCACGTGTAGTATCACCACGCGTTATATCACCGTGTGTAGTATCATCGCACGTTACTGTCACCACGCGTTATATTGCCACTCATTATTATAACCACTTGTTACTTTTCCACGCATTTTATCGGCTCGCGTTATATAGCCGCGCGTAGTATCACCACGCGTTACTATCACTACACATTGTATCGCGACTTGTTACTATCACCACTCATTGCTTCTCCACGCGTTATATCGCCATATGTAGGATTACCACGCATTATATTCCCTCGCGTTATATCGCCGCGCGTAGCATCATCAAGCGTTACTGTCACTACGCGTTGTATTACGACTTGTTACTACCAATACTCATTGCTTCTCCACACATTATATTGCCACGTGTTATATCGCCACATATTATATTACCACGTGTTATATTGCCACATATTATATTACCACGTGTTGTATTGCCACGTGATATATCGCCACTATAGCATTACCACGCGTTACTATCACTATGCGTTGTATTATCACTTACTATCATCACGCATTGCATCTCCACTCGTTATATGGTCACGTGTTATATTGCCACGTGATATATCACCACTATAATATTACCACGCATTACTATCACTATGCGTTGTATTACCACTTACTATCATCACGCACTGCGTCTCCACTCGTTATATAGTCACGTGTTATATTACCCCGCGTTATATCGCCACTAGTTATATCATTATATGCAGAATCAACGCACGTTATCATCACTGCGCATCACTATCACTCTACGTTATATTATCACTTACTATTTTATAAACGCGAAAATAATCGCGTTGTATTTTCACGCATTATATTGCCACGTATTATATTGCCATACATAGTACCACCACTATTACTGTCACCACGCGTTGTACTACCATCCGTTACAATTACAACTCATTGCATCTCCACGTATGATATATTCTCGCGTTATATTGCCACATGCACAATAACAACCTTACTTTATCACCGCATACAGAATCGTCACGAGTAAAACTGTCGTGCACAGAATATATTTTTCCGCATTACACAGGGACTAAATTCTCCACGCATTAAATCAGCTACTCATGAATATTCAAACGTGGTCGAAAAAAATAGACGACACAGTTGGTCGATATGGAACAGGAAGCGAGTCCGAGCCTCGTTAAAGTTCGTCTGAACGTACGGACGTAAAAGGAGATTCCTTGGAGGATCATCGACGACGATATCTCCTTGTTAAAACGTGTCCACGTCGCGAACATAACGAGCCGTAGCCTGATAGCGAATCTCAAGGATCGGCTGGTCCGCTCCATTTACCCTTCTTAGACTCTCGAAACGGCGATATCCGTGATTACGGTTACGCCATGCATAAAATAACGACCGTATACGGATAGGAAATATATCGACCTGCTTAGCGGACCACCTTTTTATATTTATTTGCATCAAATACGCTCATCAGGCAAGATAAACGCGGTTCACAATGCACCACGGAAGACTAAGAAACAAAAGGTGCAGGATATCCTTACGAAGGATAAAGGGCTCATTACCGGCGATTGTTTTGCGGGAAAAAGACGTAGGAAAGGAGGATAACGCTTTGTTCTAGTGGACTTGTCAACGGGGGTTTGAATCGATATCATTTAATCATCTAGGTCAGTTTTGTTTGCAAGTTTATTGCATATTTGTAGAAAGTCAATGTGGATGATTCTTGAGAAAGAGTAGAAATTTAATATACAGGGTGTCTCACAATTAGTGTAGGTCCCTGAAATAGGGGATAGCTGACATGATTCTAAGCAAGATTTCCCTTTGCGAAAATGGGATTTGAAGCTTCGCTTTTGAGTTATTAAAGAAAAACGCGGACCAATCAGCGCGCGAGGATTCGGCGCCAAATTTGAATTATTAACGAAAGACACCAACGAACGAGGTAGTGATGGGTTTGAGCGTGAAGGACTGTGGTCCTGAACAAGCGCGTTAGTACCGTGACACATGGACGTTAATGTTGTAAATATCTTGATTCCTAAATTTTCAAGTTTACTACATTTTTTAAGCTTTAAACGTATACATCTTTCAATTTTTAATTTTTGGATTTCTATATTACCAAATGTACAAATCCTACAACATGGACCAATCAGAGCGCGAGGATTACGCATGCGCAAACGCGAGAGCGACAGCTTCGGATAACGCGTAGTTATCCAACGCGTAGTAATTCAACGCGTAGTGGCCCGTGTTTTTTCTTAATAATTCAAAAACGAAGCTACAAACCTCATTTTTGCAAAAGGAAATCATACTTAGAATCACATCAGTTAACCCCTATTTCAGGGACCTACACTAATTGTGAGACACCTTGTATATTAAATGTCGCAATTTTTTAAGCTGGGCACTTAACAAGATGAAAGTTTGAGAATGTTGGGAGTTGGGAGTGTGAGGGTTTAGAGAGGTGGAGATTTAAGGATGTGGGGATTTGAAGATGTGGAAATTTGAGGATGTGGAAATTTGAGGATGTGGAGATTTGAGGGTGTGGAGATTTGAGGGTGTGGAGATTTGAGAATGTGGAGATTTGAGGATGTGGAGATTTGAGGATGTGGAAATTTGAGAATGTGGAGATTTGTGAAGATGGAAATTTGAGAATGTTGGAATTTGTGAAGATGGAGATTTGAGAATGTTGGGATTTGTGAAGATGGAGATTTGAGAATGTTGGGATTTGTAAAGATGAGGGTTAGAGAATATTGGAATTTGTGAAGATTGAGATTAGAGAATATTGGAATTTGCGAAGATGGAAATTTGAGAATGTTGGAATTTGTGAAGATGGAGATTTGAGAATATTGAGATTTGTGAAGATGGAAAATTGAGAATATTGGAATTTGTGAAGATGAACCTTGAGAATCTAAAAATTAGAAAATATCCGAATTCGTAAATGTGACAATTTGAGACTATTCCAATTTGCAAATACTAGAATTTGTAAATGTCAAAACCTGTAAAAATGATAATTCAGCAGTATATGAAACTTGAGAATGTCTTGAATGTGTAGATTCATGACTGCAATTCAGAAATCTCTAAATCTTCAAATCAATTTGAAAAAATTTGAAGCTCCCCAAAATCAAATGTAGACTCCACCCCTAGCACTGGTTATCCTAAGGAAGCCTGCACCCAAGTGTTCACGAGCGGGTATAAATTGGATGTAAGTGGCGTGATCGAGCCTCGGATACTTAGGAAGTAATGCGGTCTCGCCCGGAGCGGTCGGATCGGTGGTGCTCCGATCGTTGAAACTGGTTCGAAACCAGTCCGAGGCGTCGAGACCTGTCCGCCGATGCCAGTCTCGCGATACGTCATTCAACGATGTAAAAAAATCGAGATGCAACGTTCGACCCCGCTTCAAAACTAATTGGAACTCAGCCACGCCGTCTCTAATATTTACGTTCGCTAATTACAGTCGAATCTGTTCGTACGCTCGTTTGAATACACCTGAAACGGGGCGGGACAGCTGCCCCAACAAGACACAACATAATTCTTTATGCAAAAATGAACGCGATGGGAACAGCTTTTCGAAGCGTCGTTTTTGATAACGTGAAGAGTCAATTTGTAAAAGTGTCAATAAAGATCTG